GAAGAAACGCCGCACCACAAAACCATGGATTAGTTGGCAGAAAGTTGGGGCCATTCTTCCACTTGGTAGCGAAATCAGCAGTGTTCATTTCAGAGGGGACCCATCGCCACTCGCGTGCGTCAGTTGCTGTGAGAATTTCACCGGTTGCGAACGGCCACGAATTTGTTGCAACGACGGTGGTATGATCGAATCCAGGCTAGTACTGTACTGGAGTCACTCCAAAGAATTCGCCGGCTTATGGGATAGGTTTGATAACCTTGGATATGCTCGAGAAGGTTGATTACAAGGACTGCAGCCTTCAATTCTAGACGAGGCATTGAAAGAACCTTGAGAGGGGCAAGCTTGCTTATGAAGGCCACCTGTATGCCGGTTCGAGATGGAAGCCGATAGGCAGAATCACTGGCGTCGACGAATACATGGAGCTCTAGCTGATCGAAATTGTCCGGAAATGGTGTTTGAAAGTAGCACCGAGAGATTCGCAAGGTATCCAGCTGGGGAAAATGACCAACCTACTGTCGCCAACGATCGTTCACCACTTCATCCCAATCGATTCCTGTTGCCCATATGTTCTGCATCAACACCTTTCCATGCACTAGGAAGTGCGATACAAAACCCATTGGATCGAATAAACTCATGACGACTTTCAGAACTTCGCGTTTTGTTGGGATGTGGGTTTCGTTGAGGCATTGCAAAGGTATAGGTGAAGACGTCTTCTTTGGGAATCCACCTCATGCCGAACACGAATTCGGTTGTTTCCGCACGTATAAGAGAGAGATCCTTCGAGAGTTCTGCATCCGCTTCTCCTATTCGCCTCAGCACTTCTTCTACATTGGATAGGAAATTTCTTATTTCGAATCCGCCTTTTCAATGGACAAGCTTCACTTCGTTTACCACTTCGATCGCTTCGTGGATCGACCTGAAGCTGTCCAAGTAGTCGTCAACGTAGTGATGGTCCTTGATGGCGGAAGCTGCACGGGGATACTGCTGAGCGAATTCTTCAGCGTTCAAGCTCTTCACGAACTATGCTGAAGCTGGAGAACAAGTGGACCCAAACATAGTAACGTCGATGACGTAGATTTGCAATGGTTGACCAGGGCTGTTGCGGAATACAAACATCTGCGCTGTAGCTTGATTTGCAGAAACATCTCCCTGATATCTCTGGATGCAGCAACCGGAAATAAGGGAAAACCACTCAAGACCTTAGGCAGAGAAGTTAGGAGGTCTGGGCCTTTCAAAAGGTGTGAGTTGAACGAAGTCCCATCGACTTTCGCAGCAGCATCCCAAATGAGCCGGATCTTTCTCGGTTGTTTTTTCGGGTTGATGACTACACCTAGCGGAAGGAACCAAGTTTTTCGCGAGTCTATTTCAGCAATTTCTGTCACACTGGCCTTGTGGATATATCCTTTACACTCGAATTCCGTTATCTGCTCCTGAACTCACTGCATCAATGATGGTTCTTTCTGCAGCTTCCTTTCCAAGTTGACTGAAGCCCTTGGTGCTGATTGCGAACACCCATATATTCTCCAGCCGAGACGACACTTAGCGGCGATTGGATCCTGGGGACCTCCCTCGCGCAGTTTCAGTGGAACTCCAAGTTGAAGATTGTCTAGTCCGATCAGTAACTTTGGTTGGACTAGATCGTGATCCTCTAGTGGCAGGTCTTTGAGGTAAGGGAATCGTTGACTCATGTCACGGTAGTCCAGGCGTTGAAAAGGTAGAACCAGACAGCTCACTGAACGTGCCTGGCGAAGATCGTAACGAGCACTACTGTTTTCCCCCGCTGTCTCAAAGTTGATTTTCTGAGACCGCGGCTCCTTGCGTGTCCTGTTTCCTGTCCACTGTAGGGTGAGAATAGTTATGCTTTTCTCCTTTCGCCATAAAACTACCGGTAGAATCCGGAATAGTGGTTGAGCTTCGTTAAATGCGAGTTGATTCGACGAAATGTTCACGGAATGCGATGACGAGGCGGGATTGGAATTTGAGTGGAGGAGTGTGTGATGTTTCAAACGCCACCCTTCTGTTCCACATCCTTTCCATGACTTGCACGGCCATTTTCCGTGGTTGTTCAAGCACGTCCTGCACAAGCCTTTGTCCGTTGCTAGTTTCCATCGTTCCTCCATACCTAGCTGCTTGAATTTTACACATTCTGCTATCTTATGGCCTTCATGACTACAAAAACCGCATGTTCGAACTGATTTGCGTGGATTCCCGGTCGCGCTGAGCTGCTTGAAGCCGGCAGAATTTTCGGAAGAGTGGGTTTGAATCGCTTTGATCGCTGCTTCTCATTTTTCGGGACTTTCTGATACTCAGGAAGCTAGAAACTCACTTCGCTGGCCACCTTTACCAATCTTTCCATGAACTTCCCAAACGTCAGAACAGTTACTCGAAGTCGTTGCAGCCCAATTCATCCTCATGGGTCCTGGCAACTTCTCTACCAGTTCCTGCATGAGCATCGGGTTCGAAAGATGGTCTACTTGCTGCGCGGCTTGGAGATGATCAACAATGTTTTGAACTGCCGGTCCAAATTTGAGGTCGATTCGCGCCGGTCATGTCTAGGGCCTGGTATCCTCCGGATAGTTTTGAGCAGGGACCTGATAAGTAGTTCCGGGCGTCCATAAAGTGTTCGTAGAGTGTTCATTACTTGTGGCACGCTGGCTGGCAGCAGAAGCCTGCTTCGCACTGCATCTCGAGCATGTCCAACGAGACACCGTTGTAGACGAACGAGGTTTTCAGTATCAACAACTTATCGTAGACTGTTCAAAACTGATGATGAACGTCGGCCAGTCCACGGGGTTTCCGTCGTCCTTTCCGACCATTTGTTGGGCAGCTATTTGCTGAGAACTAAGAGCTCCTGGTGGATCACGTGGCATCGGTGGATCTCGCGGAATTGGAGGATCACGTGGCATCGGAGGATCACATGGTATCGGAGCTGCGACGGGGGGTCTCGTCGTGGCATATCCATTTGACAGGACTTCTGCCCGATTGGATTAGCTTTTCCTATGACTTTGACAGATAATCGATTGTTCCAATTTTGTCATTTTCTCTTTGTAAATTCAGTCTCATTAGTTAGACCCGAGGTTAGACCGATGTTATCCTTGCGATTACAAACGAAATATTCAAGCTGTCAGATATACCACTTCAGCGGCACACCTACAGCGGACCTGTGGCACACTTGCGGCATACTGAGAAAACCTCCTCGCGCACCTCGGAGGGACTTTGTATGGGAGCGAGCTGTCAATTTGTTAGTTTAGTGTCAAACAGTCAAACAGGCCTTGGCCTTCATGACGCGCCATATTGAGTAATCCAGCGGATTAAGATCGGGGCTGGATGGCGGCCACATATCCTTCGCAGCGATAACCCTCGGAACCCGAGCTGACCTCGGACGACCTGTGGCCACCTTCGCGGATAGTTGTCCTTTCTTTTCTCGGTCTAAAACCCTTTTGACGGTCCACCGGGACACTCCCACGGCGATCGAAATGTCTTTTTGCGACATTTGCGCGTGGGACAAATCACGAATACGCTGCCACTTCGTCATGGTGCAACTGTCAAACTAATAGCGAATTCGTTTATTATTCAGTTCCAACCTGGATCGGGTATCAAGATTGGGTCTGCTTGTTTTCTAGCAAACGTCAGTTTGATCATTTGTTTTTAAAACCTGGCACGGGTCGAGGTTCGCACTGACAAAAAGTTCGGGTTCGCACGGGTTGGAACTGGTTCCAACCCCGATAATAAACGAATTCGCTATAAGTAAATCATTTTCTTTTATACACAGCCTACTACGGTATGAGCTATAGGTTACGTGCATGCAAAGAAAACCAAGGCATTGTATGCACAGGTTAAACGGAGCCTTCCCAAGTAACTACCAAGCCCTTTTTGCGATATAAGGTAAATATAGGCTTTCCATAAAGTTTGGTATAGCAGCATAATACAGCAAAAAGGCGATTAACGAGCTTGCTGGTTACTTGGGTTATTTGTACGATGGTGCAAACATTATCACGCATACGGTAGATATTTTGAACCAACCTAGTGCATCGTTTAACAAAAAAATCGGCACCCAGAGACTTCACGGTAATAAGATAAGACGTGCCGAAGCCGACATTTCCCCTACATGGGTTAGAAATTTCATTCCAGTATGTTTTGCGGGAGCTAAGACTAAGTGGCCATCTTTACAATGCGAATTAATCGAAAGCTTGACTGCGTTGGAGTTTTACCTTGAATGCACCTTGCAGCATCCTTCCTTCAGTGATTTTACCCATACAAGTCACATGTTTCATTTTGCTCGTTCGTATCCTTTGCAACACGCACGTACACATTGATCTGCAGCGACCGATTCCCATTGGAATGCAGTGACCCTCCGCCGGTTTCCTGCGCTCCGGTTAACGGTATGAACTTTGAACAAATCTTCCCCCGAAGAAGTGCGCGAACATTTCTGGTTTGGGAGTGTCATCTCATGGATCGAATTGCTATTTTCGTACGATTTACTGTTTATTTATTATAAAAGCTACAGAATTAGAGAATATGTTTCGTCTTTTGATGTATAGATATAATGTGATGTTTGTAAAAAAGCACGCATGCATGAGGTGAACTTTAACAAATGAACACGGTGCTGCCACCGGTGTGGTTTCTTATAACAAGCGTCGATGTTCTTGCGCTATCGAACGGAAGATGGCGTCCAATTGAGTGAAGCTTTTTCGTTGGACATCGATTGGAAGCTAACTTGAATATGACATAGATCTCACACATACTACTGCAGTACACACAGTGGGACACCCTTTTTTAATTAATGGACAACATCCTGCTACTGTGTGACCTGACTTATAACGCATATACATTGTATACGAGTACCCCGAATACAACGTTTAGTTCGTCTTATTTTACATTGCAAATGCTATGCAAAATTAGACGAATCATACGTTGTATTCGGGGCACTCGTATGCAACGTATATTCGTTATAAGTCAGGTACCACAGTAGCTTCATTTTAAATAATTTCAAATGTATCAAACAAACTTAATCTTAACGCTTAGGAATAACACTAATTTGAATTCAAAACAGTAATGTTAGACGAGATTCCAATCTCAAATTTGTTATTTCACTGAAAATGTCGAAATTTCGGCTCTTTTTGGCTTCTGCTCGTTTGTGAGTGTTTATGCATTTAGGGCCATTTTAAGCTCTGAAGGTAAAGACGGCATCGAAAAAGAACATCACCCCGTTGATGATGGCCAGCGCTCCCTTGGAGATGGCCAGTCGCCGGCGGTCGGTTTTGAAGCCGTTTTCCCATTCCTGCAGGATCAGCACGCCGGACGCGATGAACATGGCGCAACCGAGGAGCGAGAAGAACAGATCGATTTTCTTGCTGACCGACTCACCGAGCATGTAGCCTGGCGTTGGAGAAAAAAAAAGAAAGGTTCGTTATTTAATCGATAGACATTTATGAGCAGGAAGGAAGTGGCTTACCGGCAAACAGACCAACCAGGATGATGGTGTAACCGACGAAGGTTCCGGCGACGAGCAGTTTGGTCAGTTCGTCAGTTTCACCCATGCTCTTGTAGTGCAACCCCACGCAGCTGATGGTGAGGGCCTGGAAAAGGGAAAGGGAAGTCAATCAAAGTAGGTCATTTTTATTGTGGGAACGTCAGTAGGCGACAGTTTCAAAACAAACGGAAAATCTTTTCGCTATCACGTGTTGTTTACAATGCGGAGCGAAGAACTGTAAATACGATCACTCAGGGTCGGATAGGATCATCCGTCTCCATAGCGTCCATCGCGTGGCACGCTGCGCTGGATTGATGACATCAGCACGCTTCTACGATGATCGTTTTATAAATAACTCAATTTCAGTTCGCGACGATCGGTGCGTGGAAGATTGCCTTGAAGTTCGTTGTTTTAAATCTAGCGTTCAGAATCGTGAGGGCCTAACTGCGATGATCGATTCGCTTAGTAGAATTTTTCTCCGAGAATAACATTTAGTTTATACAACGAAATCATTCGTTTGATTCACAAATCCAGACGTTTTTCTGCAACGAAATAGATACGTACTTTGTGCCGTAATCAAGACCAGATAGAAGTTTCTTATATTCTGCAATGTTGTTCAAATGGACAACACTTGTTCAGTAGTGAATATTTTAGAAGGGAATTGACTAGGTGGCACCAGAGTACAAGTGAAGTTCTTCAGTTGATAACTCAGGATCGAGACCAGATAGAAGTTTCCTGTCTTCAGCAAAGTTGTTCAAATTGATTGGAACCGGTCAGTAGTAAACAGTTTAGTTGGGATTTGATCACTAGATGGCACCAGATTACACATAAAGAGGTCGAATGGATAAGACTTTTTCAGCAGAGAATAGTTTAGTTACAAATAAATATAGAGAGTTATCTAGAGTTCTTCTTCTGATGATACATCAGGAGCGTTTTTTTTAGATTGTTTGCCTTTAGCAATGTTGTTTTTCTGGATAACAGCATTAAGGCAGTAACCAGTTTGGTAGCGAAATTACTTGTTAGGTGACGCCATAAACGTTTTCTGTCATTGAAAGGTATTCAAGTAGCCGAGATCTGTTCGGTAGTGTTCAGTTTTGTTTGGAAATAACTCCTTAGTACAACAAGTGTTCAGTAAAGTTGATAAAATGGGATAGATTCGTACTAAGCGAATAGTGAACAGTTTAGATCAGAACTGACTCGTTACGCGATGCCACAGTTTAAATAGAGTTCTTGTAATACTAACGTAGGATCGTGACAAAATCGAAGTTTCTTGTCATCAGCAACGTTGTGGCCATGGATAAGACCGTTTTGGAAAAACGCAGATTTTGATTTATTTGATGCCCTTAAGGAGATTCCCTGAAGAGTCTACAAATGGCCATCATGATGACTGCTATACCCTATCACTTCAAGTGTTTCAGGGCACAAATCTCGAACACCGTTTGGAACTCCAAATAAGTAATTTGAGAAATCCAAAAAAATAACAGCAACAGTTTTTTTTGAATTTCCATGGAGAGACAAACAAAAAATCACAGTGCATTATTTTGGCATGTGTCGTAGTTCATGAATAATTCTAGAAATTAATCTCCATTGTGGCTCCGGAGGATTCAAAGAGGGATTGTCAAATATCACTATTCACAACCAACCAATCAATCCCAGAAGACGTTCTGTGAATCACCAGAGTTAGTCTGGAGCAACAAAGAAGAATTCTAGAGAATTTCAAGAGCGATAGCCAAGTGCGATTCTGTTGAAAATCATGTGTCATTCACAAACAGGCAGAGATAATCACAATTGAAATTTCATAGATTGCTAACAGAAGGTGAAGAACATAACAATGAATTCCCATGAATTCCACGAGGAATTTGGGGCGAAAAATCTTATTTGGAATTTTGGAGAATCCAAAGAGAAATTTTGGAAAATCTCAGCATTTAATTTCCGAAGAAAACTAAGTACTCCTTAGATACTACCGGACTAGCGAATTACCAAAGTGTTTCTGGAGAGTCAAAAAAAAAAAAATCTATAAAATTGAAAAAAAAAAATTAGAATCTCACTAAGACATAGATTATAAATAATCTCAAGGAATATACCATATAATCCCAACAGAAACTTCAGATAATCCCAATAGCACGGAAACGGAAACGTCGTATAAGATGCTCCAATTGTGTGATTTGGTCATATGAATGCTATATTCCCACTATGGCGTTAAAGTGTAGCTTAAATTCTAATTACTGAGGCTTCTTTAAAGAATAAACGTAGACACGACTGGTTCAGTTGATAGTCAATCCACTTATCACTTTATTCACGGACTGTACAAATCTAGAGCAATCTGCTCCACTCAATCTTCTCTCGCTTCGCCTATGCGCTGAGTGCCCGACTAGCGGGTTCCTCCATTTTACCGAACGTGGAGGCTTTTCGCTTTGCCACTTCAGTTCCTTTTTCCTTGAGAAATCGCTTGATCCATGCTAGTAAAGTACAATTCATTTTCAACTTTCTAAAAATCAAAACCATAATAATTCAGAAGGCAAACTATTATTTTCACGCTTGGAAATTCGAAATTTCATGCTAATTCACAATAATCCTAACTACATATTCGACAATTCAAAAGAATTACTTAAATCAATAATACACATAATCACGCTTCTTGGTTTTCTTCGCCATTATTTTACTACGTCTGTAACCTAATGCATCATGGGAGATTCGAACGTTCCGTTCCGGAACGAGCTCTGCTTCACCAGCATGAATATGCTCCGTGCTCTCCTCACATTTCTTTGATGCATTCCGATTGTACATCACCTCTAAGAGAAAAGCCCTTTTCAGGAACCTGTTCTTCATCGTACAAGGAAGAATCGGCGGCAAAGCCGTAACAATCCGAGTCAGAATCATCGGATACTTCTTACTCATTACTTTTTCGTTTGTTGCTACGGCTTGTGCTGTCGGTATTATTATTATCATTGCTATTGATATTGCTGCTGATACTACAAGGCTGTGCTGATGTGCTGGGACTCTCTCCATTAAAAATAAACCGGCGAGATGAACCTCGGCGAGAGTTCACAGGGATCTTGAGTTGACGCTTATGCGCCGAAACGATCCGACCACTAAGTGAAATTCTTTACATCAACAATCAATTCCTTCCGTCATAGCATAAATACGCAAACTTGGCCCCACCGATCCTGAGAACATGTTTTCCATCCGTCGTAAAATATGTCCAGCCAGCTGCGGCCCATGAGCGGCACAAAGTCCTTGGTTTCCTGCAGCACAATCATATACAGATCACCTACACTGCTGAACAGATGAACACAGGCCTTTACCTGGCCCAAAATATGTAATCTGTTGCCCAGTGTTGGCAAAATCAGAAATCAATTGATATTTTGCCGCTCTCATGCGCTCGCAATATCACGCGTGATATTGGAACAAAATATCATGCTTGATATTGTTTTTACAAGCTCCTTTGATATTGCGAGACTATTCACAATGTGCAAAAATCAAGCTGAGAGTTGACTCGAAACATAAATGATTCCATTGCAGTGTTTTTAGAAAAAGAAAGCATGGTTTGCTATCTCTTTTTAATCTTCACCGATGGCAGACGCGAAGGGACTGCTGCAAGCCGTTATGGAAGTTCGGTTGCATTCGGGTGTAAAGCAAAAATCATTAAACTCAATCTCACCACAGTTTGGTGAGATTTGCAGTTGGTGAGTTTTGTTAGCTTTATATTTCGAGCTGAGATATCACAGCTTGCAAAATCAACCGCAGTAGTTTGCTTGTTGATTTTTGTCTAGGAAAATCAAGCGTGATCTTGGGCGTTGGTGAGATTTGAGAGAGACTCCGAAATCATACTCACTCTCAGCAGACTTCCATTGTTGACCGCTTTTTTCGACTAACAAATGAACATAGCATGGTTCGTTTACCCTACTCGTAATCCGAATCAATAATCTCGTCCTTCAGACGCTTAAAAGTCCAGACGAGATAGAAGTCAAAGGTTTGGGTGAATCGATAAACTTTACTGTTTGTCTGGTTTTGCGAGGACTCCTTTTCTTCAGTCTAAAACAAAATTTCTTAGTGTGTCCAGTTTTGTTGGCAAAAGAAACACGTAAAAACTTTGTCCCTATTCCTGCTTCCATTTCTTCTACCATCGCTTCTACTCCTGGAGTAAAAAAATCGATTACGGATTCGATCAAAACTCCTGCTTCTACTCCGGTTTACTAAGTTTGTCTGGAAGGACCACGCTCTTCTCTTCTACCCAATCTAGCAACGACATTATTCCTCGTCATCGCGATTAACAAAACGAGTCTGATCTGAGGACAACTCTTGATTCACTATTAACCTTTCTGCCTTAGCAGCCGTTAGAATGTCCTCATCGAACAACCTCTTCTGCAAGTTTCGGTCGTACGTCCCTATGACCAACGCATCACGAATCGCCCGCTCTTTGAAAATTCCGAAATCGCACAAATCAGTCAATTGATTCACAGCAAGTACGAAATCCTCCGATTTCTCGTACTGCCCCTGTCTACGAGTCCAAAACTCATACGTGTGTATAACATCAGTGTCCTTTTTGTCGTATCTCTTGTTGAGTTCGTCAGTTATTTGTTTATATGTTAAGGGGGGAAATACAAGTAACACGTCAAAAACTCGACGATTTTCGGAATTTTTTTGTGAGCAAATGAAACAACGCAAACGTTTGGGGTTTTTTGCATTAAATTGCTTAAATCTTCCTCTACATTTGAGATTTTTGACGTAGGACTACGTCTGTGATTTCTATATGGGGGTACACTTTGTGAAAACCGAAAAAGGAACATGTAACACAACTATGAAAGATTTTGAACGTTCATAACTCAGCTGCCCCTGGACTATTTTCAATAATATTATCACTGATCGATCAAATATATTTCTACGCATCTGTTGAATTGCAGACTTTATTATTTTTCAAAATATCACTATTGAAAATTGCATGAATGTGCAACTGTTGCTTTGACAATTAAAAATATCACCGATTGCATGTGAAAAGCGATTTCCCTAACACAGATTTCAAAGTTGAATTCCATCCGGACTCACCAAACGGTGTTTATTCCATCACCGCGTGGTGAGTGGTGGTGTTCTCCAGTACATAACGAA